TGTTTTACAGATACCAGGAGATCACCTTATCTGAGGTTTTATTGCAGGACCACTGTCTTGCAGCTGGCTGTGAACAGCAAACCATCCCTATCTGAATCTAGTACTAGTCTGTTGACTCAAATCTAGCTCATGCCAAGGTTAGGGGGAAAGAAGATTACTCTTACAGATAAACATTCAAAGCTTGCTTAAACTTGAATGGAGTTTGTGCTCTTGCAGTACCAATTGATTTTTCTTCTACATTAAATTCTACCTTTTAATTTAGGATACCCTTATGTTAAAGAAGTCTATGGCAATATATGAAACAATTTATCAAAATAAATTTGAGGATTGTAGAATTACTCAGGCAAGATAAATTGTGCCAAATGAGCTAGTTCTAAAATGAGTGAAATATTTCTGTGTGTCTAGGTGCAGCCTATAGTGACAGGAGAAGGAGTGGTGGTTTCAAACTGAAAGAGAGTAGGTTTAGATTAGACATTAGGGAAAAAATCTTTACTGTGAGGGTGGTGAGGCACTGGAACAGGTTGTCCAGAGAAGTTGTGGATGCCCCATCCCTGAAATGTTTAAGGCCAGATTGCATGAGGCTTTGAGCAACCTCGTCTAGTGGAAAGTGTCCCTGTCCGTGGCAGGGGAAATGGAAACTAAATCATCTTTTAAGTCCCTTCTAACCTAGACCATTCTGCCATTCTGTGATTCTGTATGTAGATTGACACATTAGAGAACACTTTTGAAGTTTGATTTTCTTTGTATCAATTTGACATCTGTCATCTCTGCAATTAAGTATTTTAGCTCTAATCCATCCATAACATGAAAGTCCATTTACATAAGTTCTTCTGGTATTTCTCTTAAGCTCTCTTAAGAGCTACCCCACGATGCTTGTAATCATGCCACAAAGGTCATAAAATACTAGACTTTGAACCAATTATTGAGGCTACTGAAACACTGTCTTTAACCTGAGAAAATAAAATTTGGGGTGGGAGGAAGGAAAAAAGAAAAAGGTATCTGGAAGTCTGTTTAAAAAAAAAAAAAGAGGGGGAAGGGGAGGCAAAGCAAGGCTTTTGTAGCAGAGAAGGTTAATGACATTTGGGTTATGTTGAAGGTTTGTTTAAGTACCATCACAGGGAATCATGCATGCGGTGTTTTGTTAATGAGATGTATAGAAATTGTTCCTGAAAGTCCATAAATACTTTTATTAGGAAGTAGTGGTAAAAATTTAAGAAATTATGTGAAGCTGTAGTGTGGCTACTTATAAAAAATCTATGCCACACTGTTTGCTTGTAACTGACATCAAGGCAGAGTAGTTGATTTTATTTTTTCAATATCAAGGTGATCATGCTGTTCTGTGTGTCAGAATCAAGAATGTGGCAGTAGCTGTGACAAAAGCAGCTAGACTCCACCTCTTTCAAGCACAGGAATGGCAGAAGCTGCAGAACAATATCCAGGATCACAGCTGTACAGGGAAGTTCTCTAAAGCTCAGCTGACAAGTAAGTTGCTACATTTTTCCCCCTATAAATTAAATTACTGGTCTATTTAGAACCCTGTTGAGTTATCTATGTGTTTAGAATATTAATTTCAGTGAATTTTTGCATCAACTAGGACTTTGGCCTTCTGCAATTAAAAAATACTACAAGGAAATAAAATTGCTTTGTTTGCATCACTTCAGAAGACTTTGTTTTCAAGCTGTGATTTAGTATACTGCTGGAAAATTAAATCCTCAACAAATAATGAATTTAATGCAAACAGCCAAACTTTATGACCAGTTCTAACCTCATGCTCTCACTTGTTCGCAACTCAGAAAGGGTACACGTTTGGCTGAAGTTTTCATTTAGTCATTCAGTACAGAGATTTTTCTTTAACTGTGCTGGGATTAAAAGTCCGTCTTTTTGGTTTTTTAATCTCAAATTTTCTCTTAAAAAAGATTGTCGTGAGTATATGAAAGAATTTACAGAGAAGACCATTTTCCTATGAAACTGAAGAACTTGAGAATCTAAATGTTTGGGACAATCAAATATATTGTTTGAATTGTAACTTTTATTGCAGTGGACTGAAAAAAAAACTAGAGGCAAACTGCTGGAATCTGCTGCAGTTACCCCTAAACTTCTGAAGTGAATGCTTGTAAGGTGGGAGTATGTATCCCAAGTACAAAGTAAAAGGGTAATTTTGTACCTGCAAACCTTCTCTTAAACTACCTCATAATAAGTTTTTCTTTTCTGCAAAAATTAATCTGCATTATATTGCCTTCCTTTATAACTTGCCTCTATTATAACTCAATGTTCTTTCACCCCTTAATTTTGTAATTTAATATTCATCACTGAATCTCACATTCAAATGATTTTAATATTTCAGCTGAGAATTATACCAGTATACAATATGTAGATTGTCCTTTTGTCTCTCATTTACAAAGGAGCATTTCTGATTTGTCAGGAGGCTTCTGTTCTCCAGTTTCATGGAAATGGCATTTTCAAAGCTGAGAAAACAAAAATAAAATTATATTTTCATGATAGCACAAACCTGTCACACTTTGATGTATAAAACATGTTAGAAAATTTTTAATACAGTATCAAAGATGAGCTAATCAGGATACAGCCTAACGAGTACCCACCTAAATGTGAAAGAACAATAAAACACTGAAGCATTAAGTTATGTAACTAGAAGACAAACAGACTGAAATAATAACTTTTGCACTATTTGTTAATCGTAATAGTACCAAACTTAATTAAAGCATAAATATTCCTCTAAGAAATTAAATTAATATTAGAAGCTTCATTCAAATATGTCTTAAGTGACTGCAGCTTCTCTTTTAAATACGTTTCCTCTGTGCAGCCAGAATCCCTAGAGTAACAGATTGATCTCCTATAACATTGTCATAGTGAAATCTTATACAGATGTCACTTCTAAGGATGTAGTTTCCTTACACTTGACGAGAGCTGCACAGAAATGCTGCTAAAATAACTAGCAGTTGGTCCATCATTCCTCACTGTCCCAGCAGTGCACTCGCTGTTTTCTGCTGTATTTAAGGAGTTGTATGACCACAGGGTGAGTTGGATCTGTTTGCTGAAGTTGGGCAAAATCGATTACATATTTGTTTTATCTTACTTCATTTCCTCTGAGTTAGCTTGTAGATTTGATGGAAAACTGATTAAACACGCTCTGTGTGATCCTTAGTCTCGACGCAAGTAACACGGTGTCAGAACTCAGCTGAGAGCTGAAATGGAAAGTAAAACCACTCCTGTCAGCCACTGTTTGCCTTTCATTTGAATTAAGCACCACATGAAATCCTGGTTTGTGTGTTGTCCAAGCTTGTACTTCATGATAATTATTGCAAAGAAACAAATAGAATGATTCTTTCTGGATTCTAGTGTTGATCAGTTCATACCTTCAGGAAACAGAAAATAACTTCTTGTAGTTGAAACAGGTTTATTTGAATTACATAAATGTTTTTCACAGGTAGGCTTCAAATTAGAAATTAGTTCTAAATTTTGTCTACAAAATATTTAGGGAAAATGAGCTTGTTAGAGGATTGTTTTGTATGTATGTTTGTGGCTTTTTCATTTAGAAAAACCTTTCATAAAAAAAACTTGGTTTGTAGGGTTTTTGATGAAATTTTTCTCTTTCTTCATCCCTAGCCATTGTTATCCTAAATTATTAAGGTGAATTCATCTACAGTCCAGCCATGATATTGTTATTTCTCCTACAGAGATGACTTTCATTTATGGTTTTGCTGATTAGCACTCCAGTTCGCTAATCAGTGTAACAGTACTTACAATTCATGCAGTTTCACCCAAACATAAAGAACCACAGGTTTCATCTGCATCAAGAGTTTGTTTCAGAAAGATTGTGCTTCCTTAACTGTTGCTCTTAGGAAAAATGGTGGCAAGACCAGTGAGCAGATGAAACATTAGTCTGTTACACAGTTACTTTTAAATGTAATCTGATTGAAATACACAGTTTTATTTGGCAATGGTTTCATCCCTTAACTGTCAATTGAAATTTAGTATATTACAATTTGGGGAAGGTGCTGTGAAATATGCTACCTTGCACCTTTAAAACATGCATGCTGTTGTTTACAGAGCTCACATGCAGGTGTTTCTATCCGGTGCTCTAAAATCTCTTTGAAAACAGAGTAGAGTAAATTTCACAAAGGTACGTTTCATGCTGCAGAAGTATCTGTTGGGCAGTACAGAATAGCTAATCCTATCACTACTGTTCTGGAGGGTGTAAATGTGCTAAGCATAGGAGACACAGTTTGCAGTTACTGACTTCTGGCAGAAGAGAGCCCTCCCAGCAAAGGTAAAAGCTGAGAGGTGGAATGCGGTATGTACCCTCACCAACTCTTGCCTGCACCTGTTTGAAACAAAAGATGAAATTGGAGGTCTGGTCTCTGGTGTTATGGCTAGCTTTCAAGATTGTTTTCTATTGTATGTAGTTTACATTGTACATGATGTTGTGGATTTAAGTTTTATCTTCATTCAAAGATGAGTCTTATAAAAGCAAACTAATCAAGTATGTACTTTTGTTTCTTTGTTTTCTTCCAAAGTGACTGTGAACCACACAGAGCAAAATCTGACAGTGTCCCAGATTCCTTATCCGGAAACATGGTATGTGTTTTATGTAGACAAGTTTACCTGCGAGGAGAATTATTCTGAATCCGAGGATATTCAGTTTGAAATGATCTTACTAAACCCAGATGCAGAAGGGAATCCATTAGATCACTTTAGCGCAGGGGAATCGGGTAAGATTTTTTTTCTTAAAATTAGATTTGTAAGTTAAGGATCTGATCACTCAAATCAGTACTTACTATGCTTGGAAGAGTATGGGGAATGGATAGCAGAGTCTCTTATATTTCATATTCTGCATTCTTGTGGAGAGTAAACTTCATTTTCTATCAGTACAGAAAAATCCTTTCTTTTCTCGAGACTGACTTTCCAAAACTTACCTAAATGGAAGTATGTACGCACGAGGAAAGTTAGTGTTAACATCTTTGCTGGTCGGTATTTTTACCATCTCGAAATTCTAATCTTCCACTTCAATGTGAATTTAATCCCTGATTTTAATGAATTAATGTAATAGCTGTATGAAACTTGATTCTGTGCAACACGAGTACATGCACGATAAAACATTTTGCCAGTACAATCCCAGTTCAGTGTTTAGATTTTCCTGTCTTAGTCACAGGCTGTAGATTAGATTTGTCACTCCTGATTTTGTTTTATTTAAGAAATGCAATTTTATATCTTTACATGTCCACAGAAAAATTACTTGAAGTGACTTGAGACAGCAGATAAAGATAAAATTTTATGCTTTGGATAATCCACCCTAATGCTTTGTTGCAGTGTGTAGCATCACTGCTTTGGGAGGCCTCATCAATGTGTCACTGACCTGGGTCTGTTGTGAGAGAAAGGCCCTATAGGCTTAGTCTGCCTTCTTATACAGATAGAACCTACATACCCAGAATGAGCCTAATTGCTATGCTCAGAATCAGATGCCCTGCTGTCATTTGTGGTCTCAAGAGGATATAGAGGGAACAAAAGGGAGCTCCCTTTTTGAAAGGAAGAAAATATTCATGGAAACATTTAGCAGAATCTGTAAGAAAGTAGCACATTAATCATCTGTTTTTCAAGGCTTATAATTGGCTTAACCTCTGTCTTTAATTTCTTATTCTATAAACCTAGCTGGCAGTTTTAATTTTATGAATTTGGTGTTCAGAAGTGAATTCTAAGTTAATTTAATTTTTCTCAAAAAGCAGTAATAGCATTCTTTTGTTAAATCAAGGGGAAAAGCAGCAATAAGACATCATGTGGCACTTTAAAGTGGTGTACAGACCTTCTAGAGAGGCATCTGAGCTCTGTACTAATTTTGTAAGAAGACTGAGCACTTGGAAGCAGAACTCTAAACAGCTTACACTCTGAGGTGTGTAAATTTGCTGGATGCAAAGATCTAACAAGTAGGTAGCAAGGTGAACTGCATATACCATGTCTTCCACATTTGCAGAAGAACACCTCTATTTATTTGGAATTAAAACCTGCATCATTGCCATGAATCCTCAAGTTACGTGCATGTCTGCTTTCAAAGAACTGAGGAGAATTTCATCTCTCTCTCATTTTTAATTTTTTTTGTGCATCTTTGAGAAATAATCTTTGTCATTTTTCCATAGAAACTTAGAACATGAGGGTATCAGAGAGAAGATCCAATTTCATTTCTTGCTTCTTTCATGCAGGCAACTGAAAACTACATAGTTAAATATGGTTTTAGTTAGGTCATCCTTCACTTTAGTTACTTTAATCTGTGGCCTGACAAAGGAGATCTGAAAATTAAATGGACTGTAAGGAAAGCATAGGAAAGAACTTAAGATTGTCACCTTGTGGTTAAGATGTTTGCCTTGAGAGATGAGGAGGCCTGACTTCTGATCCCTGGCAAACAATCTTTTATCATTTTATACGATAGGGTTTTTGTTACGTATGATGTGGTATTGGTGTAATCTGGGATTTCTAAAGGCAGCTGAACAGGTAGACAGCATTCTGAAGATCTTTGAAGTTAGGGAATTTTAAATTAAGGTATATATGTTTTATTTTCTCTGTCAATTCTAGGTTCATTGAAAGTCAGGAAACTTAGAGAAGACAAATTGAAAATTACGCTTCTGTATTTTTTATAGTTGGTTTTCAATGCTGTTTTCTCCTAACTCCTTTTGGTCTCAAGCCAATAATCCACACTCTGTCTGTGGTTGGAAGAAGCTTTCTATCATAAATGTTTAGTGTTTATTAAAAGCTAGTTGATTTTCCTAGAGAGTTTTCCATGTGTACTCACTCATCATGGTGAGAAACAACTTTTCCTTCTGAATCCTTGCTAACTTCAGTGGGTGTCTTCTGAAGCAGAAATATAAAGAGCGAAAGAAAGAAAAAGTGATTTGATCTAAACCACATATTTTTGTCATTCATAAATCATGCTTTTTTATTGGTGTACAAGAGAAGCAGAGTGGCCCTGAATTTTTTTAAGAGTCTTTATGAAGTTGTGTTCTTTCCTCCCGTTTCACTGTATGTGTGTCCAAAATGTTTCATTTTAGCCATAGAAATTATTGTGCAAGCAACTATTTAGAACTCATCCAGTTCTAATGTGTTTCAGCTTAGATATTGAAATATGTATACATTATATTAAATGTATACATATATATGTATGTATATACATTATATTGAAATGTGTATACACATATACAAATGTGTATACATTATATGTGTATTGCTCTTCCCAATCTCTGGGTGAAACTGGTTGAAAGTTTTTAGCAGACTTATTTTGCTGCTGGAGAAAAAAACATTTTTTGGAATCTGATTCTGTGGGCACCACTAGGTTTCAGGGAAGGTTGGAAAAGGAAAACAGAAGTTTTCTGTGAGGAATGTTTATTTACCTGGTTTTGCCTGTAGCTCACTGGCTTTGATCCTTTGGGAGCTCATGATGGGTTGCAAAGCTTATGGACAATAAAAAAGATTTCCAGGATCCAGGTCTTAAGGGAAGCATTTTACCAGGCTACTGCTAGATTGAAAATTAGAGGAGTTCGATTTTATAAATAATCTAAAAAATTTGGGAATTTTTTTTAGATTAATGCAAAAAAATTCTCGCTAAGGACTAGTTATTGTTTTCTATTATACGAGTTATTTTTCTTTATCTAAAACTTTTGAGGCTTAGTCAGCTGTGCTTCTTGAACTACTTTATGCAGAGGAAGAGTGACACCCAGTGGTTAAAAAGATTAAATAGAAGTCTGTTCTGGGTTTCCTTTATCTCAGATTGTGCCTTTACAAATGGAAACAAACAAAAGAGCTAAAATTGAGTCCTTTAATAAGTGTGTTTCTGACTGTTTAAATGGGCTACAATTATCTTCTGTGTATCAAGAAACTGTATTCCACTTTATCCTATTTCCGTAATTGCTGCAAGCCTTTCCTACGCTCCGAAAAGGTATTGTTGAATAAAAAACACTTTGTCAGATTAAACAATAATCAGCTCTCTGTAAAAAAGACACCGACTGTCTTGGATAAAATTGACTAGGGTTTAGACGTTTTAACTGTACTGCCGCTTTTGGATGATAGTTACTAAGTATTATCCAATGATTATATATATAAAAAACCTATCTATTTTGGTTCAGTTGTTTTCTGCTAGTATAAATGTTTCTTTAGAAAAACTAAGCTGTATTTCTTCTTTTTCACAGGATTACATGAATTCTTTTTCCTGCTTGTCCTAGCATACTTCATAACTGCTTGCATATATGCACAATCCCTATGGCAGACAATTAAGAAGCGTGGACCTATGCATGCTGTGTTAAAGGTGTTGACAATTGCATTACTGTTGCAGGCTGGTTCGGCTTTTGCCAACTACCTGCATTTTTCAAGGTATTGTTGCTTATTTTTGCTTTCAGTCTTAGACTTGAAGAACAATGTGTTGTAAAGATCAGTACATGGTCTTGCCTGTGATGATTGTGACAAAACATAAGACTGACCTTTGAACTGCATCATTGCCTAAATGTACTTTTAAGAGAAAACATGCATTTAAGACACATTCACTTAAAAATGCAATCTTTTTATTCTTTTATCAGTTATTCTAAAGATGGGATAGGAGCTCCTTTTATGGGAAGTCTGGCAGAATGTGAGTATGCTTGTCTACTGTTTCTTGCATATTCCTACACATGAATCTGCGTAATACATTAGCAAATGCTGTTATTGGACTGTATTATGATCTTGGACCATATCAGTGGATTTCTAATATAAAATACTAAAAATTGCTTTGCTCTTCCAAAAGAAAAAACTTTGGTTTTTAGATGTTTACAGTAACTGAATTTGAAGTTGTACAATTGGGATGTTTAGGATTTTTCAAAGGATTTTCTTATCTCAAGATTCCTTCATACAAACACTTCATACATACATGCCTGTCATGAGTAAATGTTTCAGTACATGGAAGGGTTTTATGGAGTTTGCATGATTTAGAGAGGCAAACTGTTTAGGAAACTTAGTCAAATTTTATCGAGTGTGTCATTTCACTAACAAATTAACAATTATTGTAATGAAAAAGTGTTTTACAGCATGAACTACATGATTAGCATGATGCAAAAAACACTTGTGTAAAGATTTGGTGCTAAAAAAGCATTTTTCTTCACTGTATAGATATTCTGAGACCTCACTGGAACTAAATTCCTATAATATCCCTTTCCAAAATGCACTAACTTATTCCTGTTGGATTCTTCAGTATTAAATATTGTTGTTGGGTAGTTTGACGTTTTTTCCTGTAGCTCACACTTGAAGCATTGGGGATTCTTTCTAAGCAAATGCATTACCTTTTGATTGATTTGAAGCACCCAAAGAAAGTAATACTTTGATCGTGAGATAGTGTTGGCAAGTAACAGCCTATATGGAAAAATATTTCCCTTTGTAGAGTTCATTCAGAAGGCTGCAGTTGGAATTAACAGCCTCTTGATGGCACTTGGTACCACAGTAACTACCTCTTTCTTGTTTTAACCATTTGAGTTAGCAGCTCCTTGCAGCCTCTCCAGCAACTGTATTAATAAACTTTGCCTCTCATCTCATGAAATGAAATTAAATGGAGAATATGGAGGTAGGGATAATTCCTCCCCAGTGTTAACTATCCAACCAGAACTTCAGAGAAGATTAGATGATCTAACAGAGATGTTAGATTTTCTGTGTATGTGTTGTAGTCAAGAGCCCATTTTTATTTGGATAAAGCAAAGATTATAATGAACGAAACAATATTTTTGAATCAATAGCTGAATTTCTAAAATTCAGTTAAGAAAGTTTTCCTTTCCTACTGTCTTTAAGGTTTGTAGTTTCCAAAACAGTAAAAGGGCAGAAGTGATAGAAAGGGGGAAAGCTTCAGTGGCAGTTACAATTCAGAAGAATAGCTGATGGGAAGTAGTATAGTTTGAAGGTGCTACCATGTTTCCTGTATCACAACAGAAATCAGAGTTAAAAATAAATGTTAAAATTTCTATTAAGTGCAGCGGAGCCAGAGTGGCTTTTTAAAAGCCTGTTCAGATACTATTCTTTTCCTAATATGATTTAGTCTTTACCGTGTATGATCCTCAGCCTAATTTATTGCCTAAGCAAATCACATAAATGACAGAAATAATGCTGGCATTCAGAAGCATTGCAAATAGTGGTCTTCTTTTGGTAAGAATGAAATGTGAAAAGTCAAAGACTATTATTATGCCTGTTGAATAGCCAAAAGAGATTGATTGTGATGAAATTGGACAGTTATGGAATCAGCTCAATAACATATGACTTTACACTGACACTGGATATCATGGGATTATTGTAATTTTTTAATTTTTTTTCATCCTTGTTACTTTCGAGCAAGGTGTATGAGGTGTCAAAGATTAAAGCTGATACTGAATTTTTGTCTTACACAATTTTGGCTGTGAATCCACTTGAATTGTTGCCACACTGAAGCAGAGCAATATATATATTCAAGATGCGATTGAAAGATGATGTCGGGCTATAACTTATAGGGCAGGTTATCTTAAGGAGTGACAGAAAATAAAATGCTTCCTAGTACATCCAGATTTGTTCAGTCATTTCTCTAGTTTGGATTTGTGACACTGGTTTGGCTTATCTTGGGTTCACGTAACAATTCTTTTTCTAGTGAGAGAGAAAATAACCATGATGATTTTACCCAAATCAGTGCTCGTTAATTTTATTAAAGAATGATCAAATTTGTATTTACTAGAAGCTCTTGATACATCTTAAACAGCAAAGGTGACTGAATACATTAAGAAGCATTTAAGCATATAAACTGTGAGAATACCAAACATATCCAGGAATTACATGTTGAAGTCTGTTTTATATCCGTATCTTGCTAGTATTGCTGAATGTCAGGGAAATATTGCAGCTGATCTTCATTGTATCCCTTGTATCCATATTAATCTCTGTACAGTGGCAGCATTTTCTGTGCTGGTATTTTTAGTAAATGTGGAAGTACATTTATCTTTTTTAGTACAGTCCAGTTGTATAAAAATAGAACTATGCTTTTTTTGTGACAGAAATACTACTCTTGTACCTGCTAGTCTAAGTGAAAATTACAAATAAGGAACAAATTCAATTGAACTAAAATATTAATTAAACAAAACAGAAAGCATCGTTGTGTGTAGAGCCCCATCTCTAGTTTCTGAACTGAATTTACAATTTACATAGTGTAAGAATCAATAATTTTTGTATGTCTATTCTGTGCCAGTAAAATGAGTCAGATCCCAACACCAGCTTGTAAATGGTTTGATAAGTTTCGATCAAAAACTAAAGCTAACAATCACCCAGAAAGAAATCTTTAGGTTTTTCTACTGTCGATAGTACTACAGTGAGGCTAACAACTGAAGGCTTTAATATATTCTAGCTTGAAGTTTTCTTTATTCAGATACAGTTTCATACAGCTTCAAACACAGGTTTGAGACACTGATTAAGAATGTAACTTTGGGAACAATTAACACATACTCCATAAACAGAGGTAAAAATGGACATAGCAAAATGAAGCAAAGATGCTTTGCATTTAATAAAATGAAATACAGGCAAGTTGTTGCTCTAAATGAAGTTTGTGTTAGGGCTTTTCATTATATTTTCCCCTTTAAGTGTTTCAGAGTGGAATTTGTCCTAAATATTTGTGCTTTCTTTTGCAAGTTACTACATCCTTAAGACAAAGTACAATTAAAGTACAATGAAACTATCTGATTTTTGAACAGAAGATCTTCAGAGCAAGGAAAGGAGTTCATTTCATCATGTTTCATATTTGCAGTATGATTAACATACATATGATTTTAGTTCTTTAGCATTTATAAGTCTGTTTATGTAGATGGACTCCTGAGCCCAGACTACTTTGACACAGGAGTGGGATTTGGAAGGTTGTGGCACTGTGCCCATCTTCTTGCAGAACTGCAGCATAACTGGAGGAAGGCTGATAGTGATCTGTTTGGTAACTGGAAACTCCACAAAAATCCACATTTTGTGGCAAAACAGCCACAGCTAGTCAAACTATCATCAAAATTATGACTAAAGGCGATACAGAGGCGTAAGCGTCCATCCTTCGTTTGTGTGTACACAGAAAGTTCCTCTTTGCTCTAGGAAAAAGAACTTTATTTTTATTGTGACTCTATTCATTTTTCTTTTGTTTTCAATAGTGTGTGACATAGTCTCACAGATACAAATGCTGTATTTATTATTGAGTCTATGTATGGGTTGGACAATAGGCAGAATGAAGAAATCTCATGGCAGACCTCTTCAGTGGGATTCCAGTCCAACGTCTACTGGCATTGCTGTAGTAGTTGTTGTTACACAGGTTTGTATTTTGTATTCATTCTTATACTGAAATATACAGCTGCTATTAAGTATGACAGAACTGTGAACCAAATAATTTCAATATTTTAATTCTATGAAGGAGGGAGTATCAAGACTGGAAAAAAGCCCACAGCATAATGTGCACCCAGTACGTCTAATAGGTAACACCACCTTCTCTTTACTTTAGCAATTTAAGGTGTAGCTCCACAGTATGTTTTTGTTCAGCAGTAAAACCACTTAAGAAGTTCCCACAGGTTTCCAAGCTGCTGTTTGTGCCAATTGTTTGTAGCATTATACTGTGAACCAGATCAGTGGAATGATCTAGACTAGGAAAAAAGAAAAAAGATATTTCAGCGCAGTCATTTTACTGATCTGATGTGTAATGTGGTCCTATAAATAGTTGTAATCAGTACAACTGAGGCATTGTGAACTGTATTATGGGGGGTGACAACCAGCAGCATGAGCAGAAAGACAAGGAAAGCTGATGTAAGAAAGCCTTTCTGTCACCAAAAAAATGAAAATCCTCAGTGCTTTCCTTTTGGAACCACTGAAATAGAATGTCTAATGGTCCTTTCAATCAATATAAGGGAAATCTTGAAAGGTTCATGAGCAGGATTGGTCTTGCAAATATACAAATGGTCTGACACATAATTTCATTCAAATATTTTCCATTAGTATAAATTAGAAAGTCAAGTAAACCAGTAACTTAAAAGTAAATTATAATGGAGATTTCAACCCTGGTGGTGCCTTTTGTAAACAAATTTTTTTAAATCACATCATAAAGACAGGAGAATCTGAAAACCATTGAGAAAGAGAAGAGCAGGGAGAAACTGGAGACGGTAATGAGGAAGAGATTATACTGAAGATTTTGTGCCATTTGGGTAGTATCTGTAATTAGTGTGGCTTCCAAACTAAATCAGTGGACTGCTAAAACATTAAGAGTAGCTGGGAGCTGACATTTCGTGCTAATTAAGAATATAAACCAAAGGCTATTAAGGTCAATGGGACTGTTGGAATTTAAAGATAGGTTCATTCCACCTTACTTTGACACCCATCTAGCACCAGAAATTTTACATACTGGTAGTAAAGGAGACTTCTAAAGTATTTAATTTTATTAATGCCTCTGCACTTGTGCTTGCATATGGGTGTGTTAGTACTCTGCCACTTGAGACTGGAAAGTTTTTGTTGTTGTTCCCTGTTACTAGACATAGAAAGGACACTCAGTATAATCAGCTTAATCTTTTTTTGTTTGTTACTTATGGTAAAAATTGGGGCAGATATCATACATATATGCTGTTTCCCCCAAGACTGACCCATTACACATTTGTGTTGACTCTTGGAGCAGCACTGGAGCATTAGCACAAAGTTGGCTATCTTACTTTTCACCATAAGGCATAGCTCTACCACATCTCCTCCTGGTAACATTGGGAATGTCAGGTTTGGCAGGAGTTTTGTAGGAACAGAGTATGGATATCGGAATATGTCACTGCCTGTGTGGTTTTGCACCCCTATCTCAGTGTCCACTGTCTCTAGCAAAAGTTCCCTGACACGAAGAGTATCCCTGTCCCTTCTGGATAGGATATTTTCCATCTCATGGTTCAGTACATGTAAAATACACCTTCTGGCAGACTTGTTCTCCTTAATACAAAGAGAAGCTGTTGAGCTCAGGGGAGCAGGATTTAGACTATCACCTCTATCAAAGGTGGTGATCTTTAGACTTCAGTCTCTGGATTAATCAGTTGTTCACTGGTCTATCTAGATTGACACAAGAGTTTGGCCTGCTGTAATCAATCAATGGGCACTTTTAATGACTAAAAACCTAGAATAACCTCTTTCCTGTTCTGATCTTTCCCAGAGATTCTTATGGGAGAGCCATCTTCCTCCTATGCCAGAGTTTGGAGAGACTTATGTGGATAATCAGAGATGTTCTGAGGACTTGTTGTGAACGCTGCTGGAAACCATGTGCATTACCTTAATGCAGCAGATAGAGATTTCACCGTGTTAGTTTTATTGATGTTCTACTGTACCTGTCCTCATCTCATCTTCAGGGAAGTCAAGCAAGTGGACAGCCTGGGAAAACATGTTATTCTTCAGCCTAACTGCAGTTTTGACTGGCAAACTGTCTGATCCTATTTGCCTGCTACTAGTTCAAATTACTCAGCCAAATTTCAGGATTTTTTCTCCTCTTTGTACTGATGCTATGAATTTTTAATTTTTATTCTTTCAGAAGCACTAGTAATTTCCCAGGCTATGTTTACAGGCTACCATCAGTGTGGGGTGGACACAACCTCCTAGTAGCGAATCTGTTGTGCTCTTTGCGGCTGCAAGGAAGGAGGGACAAGTCTGCCACTCAGCATCTCCCTTTGCCTTAACTTGTTCTTTATTTCAGCTGCAGAACACAAGATTCCCAGGCTGCTGTGCATTCATTCATTAAAGATTTCACTCTGCTGCTGGGGCACAAACCTTGTTCAGAGCTTCACTGATGGCAGGCCCTTCATGTCACATAGGTCTGAGTAGTTTCAGCTTTCAGGGCTGATCAGAGAGGAGGCAATGATTCTAGAAAGGTAGCTGATTGCTCTGAACCTGACCAGAATGACAGAGAACCTTACTGCGTTAGATGCCACGTTTTAGGTACACCCTAAAGGTGTGCTCAGAATGAGCTCTACCTCTGATCTTAGCTCTAAATTTTTTTTTTATTGTACTGGCATTGCATGGCATCAGATACCTGAGTACTAAGTATGGTTAAAAACAGCTAGTTAATCCACTTTGCTTTGCTGCTAGTTTTAATCTCCATTTTGCTTCCCCCTTGCCTCTGAACGATGATCTGTCCCATGAGAACCTGCCTTTGCTGGAGATTGATATGTTATCTTGGCTTGTCATACAGTCAGTGTTGGCGTAGCAAAAGGAAGGAGGAGTTCTACCATAATTGTTTCCTCATGACAAAAAGGAAGAGTGTCTGGTTCTTCGTCATATGGATGTGGAGGTTCAGCTTGTATATCTGGAAAATCAGGATGATGTCCATGGCCATCACTCTTCTAGTATTCGAAGAGGAAGGTCAATACTGGACAGTGATTGGTGTCCACTGTGAACCAAGATAGGTCAGGAGTATGTGCAGGTGAAGTCAGGCATTCTGAATAGTGTATTATATAAACAAGGAGATGATCATTCTCTTTTACCTTATGAGGAAGCAGTTGTGACTTTAATGTCAGATGTAGCTGGTGTGAGTCAGCTCTTTAGCTACCTGTCTCATCCAGTTCTTTTGTCTACAGCCTAAGCACAGTTGTTCTTCTGGATAACAATTAGAATTTTGCCCCCTGATTTCTTCTCAGAGCTCAAACACAGTTCTACTCACTGCCAACAAAAAATATGTCTCTGATACCTACTTCAGCAGGTTGGTGTCTGGGTGTTTTTCAGCTTGTTCCCAATATTGCAGCTGAGTTGACAGTTACCTTGCTGTGATCAAGGTGAGGGACTTCAGGGCTTATTGACCTTAATTTCTTAACTAAATTTCAATTATTTTTTTTTAATTTTCTCAACTAGAGAGATTTTTACTTCAGGATCGCGCTAGTGTACAAAAGCCCTTCCTTCATTGAGAACAGACTGCCTAATCCATTTTTACCTAGAAACACTCCATAGCACAGATTTCTCTTTTATAGGATCCTGGCAAGTGAGAATAGTCCTGGCTCATAGTAAGAGCAATGACAGATTCATGTTGTCCATGTTTACACTCTGTTGCACTGACAGTTCCATCTCTACCTCTAATGCCTCTGCCTTCTGCCTATTTTGGATTAATCTAATGAAGCTGAAGGAAACTGGACTTCTGTGATCTTACAATGCTGTCACCATACACAGCCTTTGATCAACTGATGTTGTGCTGTTTACACTCTTTAAAGGACTAGTCCAGAGCATACCCTGCTGTCAGACACTATTTTCCTATGAGGATTTGGGCTTTGTTCTCATAATTCCTTTACTCCAGCTCTTTGTCATCTTCTCATGAAAGTGGCTTCCTTCATTGCTGTTACTATTGGTGTATATTAAGGAAAATTTAGACCTTTGTGAGCTCTGGTTTTTAAGGTTAGGTAGATCCCAGGGATAGCTTAAAGTTTCTTCTTAGAGCAGTATCACAGTTCCGTCTCCATCAGCCAATATGATTTCCCCCCAGATGCTTACTTGAGTCAGGAAGATTCTATACGTAGGTTGAGGGGGTTTTTATTTTCTTAAGCAGAATAAGTACAGTCCAGGGAAGTTAAATACTTGGCAGTTCTCAAGTGTAAATATCAAAAGGCAAAATGCTTACAAGACTGCAGTGATTCTGTAACTGGTAGAACTCTTGTTTGTTGTCTGAACATGTTCTAACTGGACTGTAATAACTTCTGTGATAGGAATTCATCAATTTCATGCCAAAACTAGTGCTATAGACACAATGTTAGCAGACACTGCTGTATCTCAGGGATTGGGGAGCAATGTAGTCTTGTTTCAGTCTTAATCCTTGACAGAATTCTCAGTTAAGTAATTTGATCATTTGAAGATGTTTGCTTGAAGTTACTCTATTTTGAGCATTATGGTGGGAAGATTTGAAGCCTATTGGTCAGATTGTTTGCTAGTAATCAGCTGTGTTGAAGATGTGCACACTTTACATCTGTCCCTCTTCCATCCTTCTTCTATTTTTCATCCAGGTAGTTGAGGAGTGACTGAAACAACAGCAGCTGTGCTTGCTGTGTCATGGCCTAGGTAAGGGAGGGGGAAAGCATGAGAGTACCTCTGAGGATATTCTAAGCGATAATTATTCTAATACTGACTGATGAGGCTCAAGGACATCCACTTTTGAAAGGCACAGGTGGATTACACACTTTTTAAAAATTTAATATCAGTAACCTTTTTGTCTTTATGTAGTTAATGTAGTGAGAAAACCTTTGAATGTGTTGAGAAAGGAATCTGACTAATTTATGTTTCTAAATTGAGCCATACAATGTCTGCTTCTGAAGGCCTTGAGAGCTACTTCACTCATAAATCAAATTTGCCTACCTTTCTTCAGAAAGCCTGCTTTATTAGGCACCTGAAGCCTCAGTGCAAGTTAGATGTGTGCAGTAGGTGGACTGGATTCCAGTGTATATTCAAGTTTTAAAATGCCATTCAGCTGCTACATAATGCTGTGAGAGTCTAAACTTTATGTGTATTCTAATTTATAATGTTAGCATTCCTAAAATCTTTAAAAGGTGTTCTTCAGCAAGACATCTTTTTTAATGCAAGTAGGCGCCTGCCTTCTTCCAACTAAGATTCAGAAACTAGGCACTTGTTAGTCTGTTTTTCCTTGGAGAATATCAATATTCTTTCTCAGAGTGCTCCTACAAAATTGGATTCTGCAGTAAATGGATACAACACTGGGAGTTAAGGAGGATTACTATCTTTTGTGTAGTTATCTTTTGGCTAGAGTGTTGTCCAGATGGTAGAACAGCGTTTGGAACCTGTGACACTTCCTTTCCTAGACCCTAACAGGTTTCTGAGCCAGTTGCTTGCAGAGCCAGGCTCGCTCACAGTTTCTGACCTAGCTGATGTTGAATTCTTTTCTCCACAATGGCACAGCTTCAATAGAAGGGGTGGAGAGTGGCCCACCCAAGAACAGCCTATAGCCTGGCAGTTGCGGCACTCTCCAAGGAGGTGGGAGATGTGAATTGGATATCCTTTAGGCAAAGAAAGGAATTGTGGGAGATCCAAGTTCAACCTGGGTGAATGCTTGAGCCTTTAGGCTATTGTATAAAAGGGGCAGCAGCACCACCCTCTTACTTCCCCATCTTTGAAAAGAAAAGTGAATCCTGTTAGGATTTTGAAAGAAAAGGCGTAGTCGCCTGCCTTTGAAACAAGCTTTACAGGTTGTGGATCACAAGTGGAAGGAGACACCTCCCTGTAGCTCTGTGAAATCATTTCAGTGGTCTTCCTGCAGAGTAGGCCGAGTGTTTAACGAGGTGATTATTCCAGATCTTCTAAGGTGCCACATTGCTTCTATCCAAATTACAGGAAACTTTAACTTGTCGAACTTTCTAAAAGTTACAGAATTCAAGAAGTGAGACTGTTCCTGCCAGTTACAGCTGGAGTAATAGGTTATGCCAAAAAGCAGTTCAGGCTGGGGAGTTTTTTTGGTGTGTAGCATGGCCGTCTCTAACAAGCAGAGTGGAGCATGACCAGATAACTTAATCTGTGATGGGAAGGTTATTTAAAATTTAGTGTAACCTTGTTTACTCTAAGTTTACTTTGCTGTCATTCTTTTCCAGAGCTTTTTGTTAATTTGGGAGCAGTTTGAAGATACAAATCACCACAGCTACCACTCGCACCATGGTTTAGCAAGCGGACTGCTTATTGGCCTCAGAGTTTGTCTGGCTTTGTCACTGGCTGCTGGTCTTTACCAGATTATCACAGTGGAGAGAAGCACGCTGAAAAGGGAGTTCTACATCACCTTTGCCAAAGTACGGGTTACATCAGGGAAACTGATCCCTTCTTCTATAAATATAATTGTGGCATGCAGTTGACTGAAGCACTAAACTCTTTTCCTCCATAAGACAGTTAATGTTCAAGTGTCTGATTTGATTACATTGCACTCTGTCATCATAGTCTGAGTAGTCATTTTAACTTGACAAGGAGTATAGAGCTTTCTGAAACAGAAATCCCACCTTTCATTGTGTGGTTTTCATTCTGTTGATTGAAAATTAAACAATGGGTTCATAAAATAGAAATGTAAATGTAGTTCCTGTAACTGTCATCTCTTTCTTCTAAACTGGCATGTAGTCATTTTACAACTTATACTCATCTTCTTTTTCAGGCCTGCATTCTCTGGTTTTTGTGCCACCCATGTCTTGCAACCATTGCTGTAATATTCAGAGAATATCAAAGAGAAAAGGTATGTACAGGCAAGATAAAAGAGATGGAATTTGAATACTAGTTGTTCTTCATGTTTAGTGTTTGTTAGCAAACTCATGCTCTTAGGCTGTTAATCTTATGACCCCAAAGCAACTTGAAAAGTCTTAGTCACACAACTCTCATTGATGCTAATATGAGTCATATTTTACAAAGGCATACAGGGTTCGAATCATCTAAGGGTAATCATTTCTAGGTTAAGGGAGGGAAAAGGGGAGATTATTAAGTCAAAGGAAAATGTGGAGGGGGTGTTTTGTTTTATTGTTTGCTTGTTTACTTTTAATTAAAAACACCTTGAGGATTCTTTTTACAAAGGTAGTAGAAAGATAAATCAGAGGATTTTTTTTTTGTTTGTTTTTGCTTTTTAGTCTTCCTCCTGTAAAAGCTTTATGTGGCTAAATAGGTCAGGGAACCTGTAGCTGAACTGCATTCTTTAGATCAAGAAGTCTATGTAAATATGTTATTTGGTTTATAAGCTCTAAACAGTTAAAAACAAAGGTAGACTCTCTGAGTTTCTCAGTTGCTTAAACATATTGAGAATTAGGGAACTACATGTGTGGAGCTTGCCATGTTCAGATGAAGTGCACTGCTATTCTCAGGTGATTGACTACCTCATTCCAGGGTAGGGTTTGCTTCTTTTCTTTATGCTTATAACCATCTGTGCATTTGTATGCAAATATATTCAGAAATTGAGCTTTTATTTGTGTAAAGGATATGTAAGGGAAAGAAAAAGGTTCCACCAAAAATATGTAGTAAATTAAATACTACATTTAATTTTTTAAAAAAAAACTATGCAGAAAAAAATTACTCCTCTAAAGTTACTAATGAAGAGACTTTTTGTTGTTGCTTGATGAAAACCTCCTGAGGACAGGAGGACGATCTCTAGAGGTAGGATCAGGAAATGAATGTTTTTGCACTATTTTGAGCTTACTGAAGGGAGAATACAATTGCTCTGCTCTTGCATTTGAGCAAGTTTAACAATCGTGTGCAGCTGCAGTTCCTGCACTATGATAATTTAGCCGTGTTTGCTTCTTTAAACGCACTTCAATACAATACACAAATGCACAATCAATAAATACTCTAATTACTTAATAAAAACATGTATTTTAAAAGACTCTCTCTACATAAACTGAAGACTTTTTTTTCCCTCAGAAACATTAATGCATTTAATAAATACTGCCGTGCACTGCTTTTACTGATGAAGAGACTTGAACTGAATAGAGGTCTGGCTAAGTGAGATTGATAAATCACTATCCTCAAAGCTCCATGATTGTGCTAGTACAAAGTGTTTTCAGGCTTTCTTGGCGGTTTTTTCCCCACTCTGTTTGTTGTAAGAATAGAATATCTAAACATCACCTCTGCTTGTGAAACTGCATGGGTGGTGAATTGCAAGTCTGAAATTCCCCAGAACAGAGACTGCCAGAAGGGTTATGTGACTTGCCCAGGGCTATCTGCTGATTTAAAAACACCCAGGTGTGAGAGTCTGAATTCTGCACTTGAGGTACATGTTCAAATCTTTTGTAACTGCAGCAGTATTAAAATGTCTAAAGTTAAACACTCACACAGTATGCTGATAGAAATTTATTGTGCGTTCTTTGGTGAGAGTTTTTTTTTTCACCTTTTCTTTTTCTCTCTTTTTTTGTCTCTAGATTATTACCATAGGTGTTATCCTCTGTCAGTGCATCTCCATGGTTATCCTCTACAGACTTTTTCTATCTCATAGTCTATATTGGGAGGTATCTTCACTGTCATCAGTGACATTGCCACTAACAGTATCCTCCGGACATAAAAATCGACATCACTTCTGAGATGTTTAGGAAGAATACGTTATGTTATAAATGTGCAATAATGACTTAAGTATACAGGTATTTTTGTCACATGTGTGTGATACATTGGTTTCACTGGAAAACTGAGTGATAATATCAGACCTTTAGTCTGACAAGGTTGCTAGGTTAATCTATTAAAAGTGTTGGGGAGTGTAAAAATCTGTAATTTTAATAGTTTTATAAATACTGTTTATTGGTAACGTCTGGTGCTGAGCTGTATCACAGAAGAGTACCATGAATCTTTTCCATTCACAGACACCAAAAACGCCCATACTTTGTATCAATACTAGGTTTGAAGGTCTTACAAAATGCAGTTCTTAAAACATCTACATGCTCAAACAAGTTTGAAATAGGCCGGTTGTGAAATTGGTGTGATGCATAACGATGAGTACAAGGGGTTTTTTATTTTCATGCTTTAGAGAAAATGCATTTTATGTATCAGTATAAAAGATGGGGAAACAAAAGAGGGAGAATCCTCTAGAAAACACATGTAAAATGTTCACAACTGACTGCAAGAAACTTTATTATTGGTGTAAAAGAAAAGCCTTTTTTGCAACTAATGTTCATACTGGTTAAAATTCTAATGGGAATATAAATAGGGTTTATATCTGCCTCTTTTTTTTTTAAATCAATGTAACTAAAAATTTCATCCAGTAATGCAGGTTTAAACAGTTTTTGAGGCTTAGAAGACATAGCAACATAAAGGTAATTAAAACAGCAGGCTTGCATCTTTTAAAGAAAAAAAAAAAGGCAAAGAAAATGGAATGGGTGATGTGGTACTAGAATTTTAATCCTGATATAATTCATTTCTGTTACATTGAGGATTCAATCATAATTAAGCCATATACACAGATTAAATTAACAGAAGCATTTCAAATAAATGTTGGTTTCAGTCATCAACTACCCATGAATTCCTGCCCAAGGATACTTAATCAGGATTAAATTTTCTATGAATAATTGAAAAACAAAATACTCACTGGATTTGTTATAATCCATGTTGGCACTGGGTTCTAAGTAGTTGCCATCTTCCATCCATTGTAATAAAGCCATACTACTTTGTGATGCCCTAGCATTCAGAAAGCCAGTGTAAATATATACTTTATTGAAGTGCCTATTTATTGAGTATGATTAAATCATGCTGACATTTTTTTCTTCATAATAAGAACATACCTATTGCCATTGTGAGTGAATTCTTTTTTTCTATTTAGTTAATATTTGTCAAATTTTAGACTTCATACATGTGTATTTCTTCACCAAATGGATTTTATTTTCTAGTAAATGAGTATTTGCTTTTTCTTAATGGTGTGTATTTAATTATGTCTCTGTGAAAACACAGGTTCTAGCTTTAAAATAGCCCTAACTTTTCCATTCATGTTTGCCTTAGTTGTGAGCATAGTTGAAACATAAGTCTGTTCCATTTTAGTTTAGAGGGAAAACTAGACATTTGCCTTTGACTAAGGCAAAATGGCAACATGACAAAGTTGCTCATTAAATCATCTCCTTTCTTATTGTTTGTAATTCAGATCAAGAATGGCAGGTTGAGGCTGGAAAAGATGAGATATTATGATTTCACACAATCTTCAGAATGATTAAAAGATTAATTATTACATTCCTCTGATAACCACACAAAAATATTATTGGTTAAAACTTCAGTCTTTATTTCCCTGCTTATCTCTGTACTTTTCATCTTCTCAAGAAAAAAGCATCCTGTTTTTGATAAGTCTCCAGTAATGCAAGTAGAAGAGTTCTATCTGTCTTCATGTATAAGACTTGAAATTCACACATAAAATAGAATTTTCTGATAGACAGAAGTACTACTTTACAGTTTGTGATCCATCATGATAAAAGTTTTAATCTATGCAGAAAAACCTCTGTGTGACTTTCAGAAGAGGCACTCCATTTGTTTTATTCTCCAGAAGTACTTTCTTACTTCCTGTAGTTCCTCTGGCTTCAGTTAGTCAGTATTATGAAACCATTTACCTTAATTTCTCCTTATAAATATACCCTACAACAATTCATAATTAATTAGTGTAAGTAAGAAACATAAGGTGTTGTCTCTTAAATCTTGCTCAGATTGCCCCATAAGTCAACAGGTAACATTAGCTTCTTAGTTTGGCATTGAATTCAGTTATTTGAAAATAAATTTTAATTTTGCTATTACTGTAACTAGGAATTAAGTATCACTTTCTCGTGGTAAGTGGTACAAAGGACATGCATTTCTGCCCAGATCTATTAGCAGTCTTTAAAAACCAACACTCACCAACCTTATGTTGTTAAATAACTATTGTGTACTGTAGCAGTACATCATCATGACTGCAGTGATATTCAAGACATCAGTTAATTCAGTGGGGAGAGTCTTCAAGTATGACTAGTGACAAACTTACAGGTACATACTTACCTGTACTCTAGATTGTAGCTTACTGCCTCTGGATCATGCCAGAAGAGTGGTTCAGGTATGTGAAAGCCTCTCTCTTCTTTCTAGCTTGCATCTCCTGTGAGACCAGCTGATAAGACCATGGTGTTTTTGTGCTTATCCACGCTGTTACCCATTCTGTCAATTTGGTTTCATCTTGAAAAAAAGCTTCCAGCCATCTTTCAGTTTTCTTCAATCCACACATCCTGACTTGAAAGCTTTTCTTCTAAAATGTGCTTTCTGTCACAAAAAAAAAAAAAGAAAAAAAAGAAGTCAAATTAAAAAAAAAAAAAAAAAAAAAAAAAAAAAAAAATACGTTTTCTGTCACAAACTGGGGCTTTTTGGTACACCTGTGTCAGCTCTGTGTTAGGTGACAGCAGTGGACAGAAGCACTCTTCTGGTACAGCTGTAGCCCCACTGTGTACGTGGTGCAGGTTTGGGCCCACTGAAAGCTGCTGCACACCTGGGGAATTCTCAGGGAGAGCTACACCAGCTCCAGGCTCCCTGCCGCCTTACCACTACAAGAGGCTGGAGCAGGTCCCTCTGAAGGTAACACTTCTGTTGCTGGCCATGATGAGCAGCGCTGTCGAGTTGAGGTCAAAGGACGACGTTTTGAGAGTTTCTGTGCATTGTGCGGTTCTGGTTTAAATACAGTTGGGCATACAGTGTCTGCTAATTCTATTGCCCACACATTTTGGTGCTCAGAAAAGGTGAATGTGTATTGACATGACTGCAAACTGAAGTTGTTTGTGCTCTGAAGAAATCCGCTTCTATGTGCAAGAGGGCATCGCCTGGCCAGCCATCACTTTTTCTGCTGGCACAGATGTCAGTTTGCGTCAGTTATGATTTATTGGTTGGGAGGGAGGATCCCAGTTCAGGAGACATGAGGGTGAGATCACCAGCTTGGTCTACAAGACCCCCCACAAGCTGTCAGGAGACATCATCCTGCATTGCTCCCACCCAGTGATGTGGAGGCTTGTGCAGTTCTAGGGCTCATCGCAAGTCACCTAAGCTACTTGCTCCTGTTCTGCATAGACGGTGTTTATTGTATATTTATTTAAAGTGCTTCAGGTAGGAAAATGAATATTTACAATTAAATATATGTAAATGGAAGTGGAAAGGCTTGATTGGAAAAATATCAGGTTTCTAATACATATTACAATACCTAGACCTCCCACACACGACAAACATTTATAGCCAGAACATTTCTTTTAATGAATATTTCTTTCTGGTTCCTATGCCAATGGAAAGCCATGCAAGTATCAAAATGTTTTTGTTTGCATCTCAATCCTCTACAGAACTGGAAGAATGTTTTATTTGATTTGGCTCTAGTTTATTCTGTGCAATGTTCTGCCTCTAATTGATAGAATAAATGTTTTTTGGGCTGGCCAAGGCGAATGTTACGCTGTACCTTTTAACTTTTTGTGTGACTATGCAATTTACAAAGAGCAGGTGATCCTTGTGAATGTCAAACATTAAAAGAGAAAGTATTAAACTGTTCTTCAAAGGGTCCTTCTTTTCTAACTACAGTTAGATCGAACTGGGCTGTGATTTTCCAGTGAATCCGATTCCAGTTTAAGAAAAACCATTATTTTCTGCAAATCTATTTCCTGCCTTGCAAATTCTATGTCTCCCACTGCGCTCTGTCTCTGCCCTCCCCTCTCCCCCTCTCTCATACATATGATTTTGAGTGTAATGGGTGTCATTTCTCTCTGTATCTCTCCATCTGTTCCCACGATCAACACTCACAGTCCAGCCCCTACTTTGCATCTAGTATGTGTATTCTCTTTATCCTTGGCCTGTTTTGATTTCGCGCTTTTCCTGTCTCTCCTTTGCCCTCTCTACCATCTCTTTAGTCTCCCTAGCCATCAGAGACCTGAGGGTGTGGTTTGACATCGCAGCTAATTTGGACTAACTGTTAGCTGTCAAAAAAACCCAGTGTCCCTGTTCCCCTGGCTGCACATTGCTCTCGCTTCCATGGAACTGACACTGGCTGTCACCCAGCAGTTTGAGTGAGGAGTTGAGGAGTTAAACTGGTACAAAATTCAACCTTTAGCAGCAGTCAAAGAAAAAACAATTTAGTTCTCAGTGGTTTTAGCTCACCAAACCAGGTCATCGGGCTTTGATGAGTGCTGGCACTGCTGGGGATGGGGTAGAAGAGCACATTGAAGGCCTTGTAATTTCTCCATCTCTCTATTCTATATGTTTTCTGCTGCATTTTGCATGCTAAGGATTGGACTGACCCCTGCCCTCCACAGCTGTCTTACAACAGAAGTGTGTCACTGGGGCAGGGGAGTTCCAGCAAAAGGAAAACTGTTTGGCTGATTTAAAGTATTCTAAATTGAACATGGTCATTTGTGCCTTTGCAGCTTTAAAAAGGAGCCAGGGGGTGTCATGAGCAGCCTCTAGTTTGAGAAAGTATTTTTGAGGGAAGAAAACCGTGAAAACAGCCACAACTTGAGTGGGCGTCAGTTTTTTCAACAGATGAGAGCACTGCGGTAGAAGGCAACCAAGGAGGTCACACAGCTTTTCACAAGGTCTGCCTGTGGGTAGGGAGAGACTTAATCCGAACATCTGCAACCCAAGGAGCAAAGGTTTCCAGCAGCAGGTACACTGGAAGGCTGCTTTTGTCTATCGGCTTGTTAATCTGCTGAGATGTATGACTTTGGGAGTCTGTGGTAGGATGGCGAGGATCTGTCTCGCCTTGCGGTCAAGTGCCGGGGAGTTTGCCCAGGCTGGTGAGTTTGGCTTTTGCTGCTGCTGCAACAACAACCCCCCCCCCAAAAAAATTGATTAATGGAAACCAAAAATGAGCAATCTTGGGAATCTCTCCTTTAATACATTAGTTACAGCTTAAAGACTTTATGTGCGCCTTATTAGAGTGGATACTTTTTTTTACTTAGTTTCTCACCCTTCCAGCCTCTTCTAAAACAATGGCATTATTTTCAAATCAAATTTTATAAAATGAACACTGGAGTTGTTAAGAAGAGATAAAAATTTACATAAGACTTCTATTTAACCTATTACCTATGAAAATTTACTTCAGGCTGAAACATGTTCTCCAAAGTTTACAGCATACAGAACAAATGGTTTTTTAAAATTTCTTTACTTATGAGTACCTTAAATTGTGTTTTCTAAAAGGGGAAAAAAAAAACCTTGGAACCTTACCAGTTTAATTTGCATTTTGGCTCTGATGTAACTCAAAATAGATTAGATTAAAAAAGGAAATTTGGCAAGTGATTACTCAATTACATGATTTTACTGCTTTGGTATTTTGAAAATAAAAATGAACAGATCTGTTTTACTTTGAAAAGAGCCTGGTGCACGTGTGCTGTAACCACTTTTCAGAAACCATATGGAAGGTTCCCTACTCTGCATATGGCAATGCTACCCAGGGCTCAGATATGTATTCCTGCGGTAGACTACACAGGATCCAGTTGGATCAGGGATATTATTGTCTCCATTCAGATAGTGCTGTATCAAAGCAAGGCAGAGTGATCAGTTTGGTGTGTAAAACACAGGAAGTTCACAGTGACAGGGCTTCATTGCTCCTTTTCGTAGGAAGGAACTGAAATTTCTTGGAGCTAGTGCTGGGCCAGAAAGTTAGGTGGAACTTGGGGAAGGGGTACAATTTATATGGGATCTGTATTTTGCAAGATAAAAACCACGAGCAGCATCAACAGATACTTTTAAAACATTTCATCATCTAGAGCTACAGCTACACTTCTCTGTGCCTTCCTAGTTACCCTTGATTCCCACGCAGTCATGTCTCCCAGCACTTCTCTGATATCTTTTCACCCCTAGCCTTCATACCAAGGGAAGGAAGCCTCTGCTGACTCCTGGAAGACCAAGCAGGTGGTGACAAGCTCCCTAAAATAACAAAGCTT